CGTTGTTTCACATATATTCGCTCAACTGCATCATGATGTGTTCATTGCGAGTGGGAGCCGCGATCTTGATTGTACACAAGTTCGATATTAACTCTCTCGTGAAATTTGTGCCAAAATATAAGGTCACGGTTGCGCCATTGGTGCCCCCTATTGTTCTGGCAATTGCGGAGTCTCCGGCTGTGGAGAGTTCCGACATGTCGTCCATACGGATGGTGTTGTCGGGAGCCGCACCTCTGGGGAAGGAGCTTGAAGATGCGGTCAAGGCTAAGCTTCCGCAAGCGATTCTTGGACAGGTAAAACATAGTAATTAAATTAATGGTTGTTAAATATATTAAAAATTGAAAGCATGTTTTAATTTTCTCCATGCTTCACATGATTACGAGTGGCATCATATATATATATATATTATAAATCGCAGGGATATGGAATGACGGAGGGGTTGGTGTTCACAATGTCATTGGCGTTTGCGAAGGAAAGGTTTGTTAAGCCAACTGTATTTAATTTCATTGAATAATATTTATTTAGTTTCATGTTGACCATCATCAAAAAGAAATCGAAAGCTCATATATGTTCTTAATATTTGAAAATTAGGTTTGAGGTAAAATCGGGTGCGTGCGGGACGTTGATGAGAAATTCGGAGATGAAGATAATCAACCCTCAAACGGGGGCTTCTCTTCCAAGAAATCAACCTGGGGAGATTTGCATCCGAAGCACTCAGTTTATGAAAGGTTTGCACCATTTTCCATATATATATTTTTTTCTTTTCTCTACAATATATACTTAGAAATGTGTGTTCAAATTCACACGCAAGTTCCTGATCATATCCACACGTTTCTAAACTTTTAGCTCAAATTACTATGAGTTTTTTTTTTTTTTTTTTTCGGGTTTAGTTTTCAATTTGACAATCGAATTTTATAAATCATTGTTGCCACGCGACTAATTAAACAAAAAGATAAGAGATTGGAGCTTTCTATTTTTTAAATGGTAAATAATACTTTGATAGCTAGACTAGTTGAGTTATTGCTTATGTGTCAGATATCATATTTTCCTCTTACATCAACACAAGTTCATGTTTAGTTAACTATAATGTTAGTTGATAGATGAGGGTCTATAGTTGATAGATGAGGGTCTAGGGTTGGACGAAAAAGATAGCAAAAAGAGCGAAGAAAAGATTGGAAATGATTTTGGAGATTTAACTAAACTATATTCATCAAATTAAAATTAAGTCAAAACTATTGAGAATATTTAAAAATTATTAAAGCTAAATTCAAATTGAGCTTGAATCATAGGGAGGGACCAAATTCATAATCTAGCCATACTTCTATTATTTTGTTTATTTTAATCTTTACCCTTATGTAATATTTGTTCAATTTTTAATATAAATGCAGATTAGAAAAAGAAAAAAATTTGTGGAAACCAATTCTACATGAAGCTTAAAGAAAATTAAAGAACTGTAGGAGAGATCTAAAAGCTACAAAATTTTAGGTGATCATTACAAAATCTGAACTATTTTCTCTAAATCATTTTTATTTACATTAGTCCTGGACAATGAGTCAATCTACCATGGTTGGTTACTATAATTAAATACATAATAAGTTTTAGTTCCATCGAAAAAATTAAAATTTTGTGAAAAATAAATACATTTTTTAGTGAAAAACTCAATTGCCAGTCCAATTCAATTTTTTTACTACAACAAATATTGATTTGACTATTAAAAACACAATATTTTAATTGATGATATAATTCAATTATACATAAATGAATGTTAAATTCAAAGAAATTAGTTCTTTTAACTTCAAATACTAAATTTCATAAAACATTTTTATTATTATTTTTTTGGGATACGTAAAATATTATTCGATTCTAGAAGTTGTTACCCATGCTCTTCATTAAAAAAAAAACAGAAAAAATAAAAGAAGCTGGTACCCATGATAAATAATTAATATCGGTCCAAAGATTTAATTAATGAATTGCATTAAATTGTGGAACGGAAAGGGTAGCTGATGTCATTAATTAATGTTGCCTAGCCTTCCAAAATTACATTAATGCAGAGACGTCATCTCATTTATTTGGAAGCATCAATTTGGGCCAAGCCCATATTTATTGGGCCTAGTGGGCTCATAGCGAGTGCAGTAGTGTGTTTATGCGTCAAGTTTTGGTTGGTTGAACAGGGTATCTCCACGACGAAGAGGCCACGAAGGGCATAATCGACAAAAACGGATGGCTCCACTCCGGCGACATAGGCTTCGTCGACGACGACGACGAGGTCTTCATCGTCGATCGTCTCAAGGAACTGATCAAATACAAAGGTTTCCAAGTGGCGCCGGCGGAGCTGGAAGCCCTGCTGATTTCCCACGGCCACATCGCCGACGCTGCGGTCGTACCGTACGTGAGCCTTCTCGTTCGATTCTTCACCCGCCCCGTTTTATATTTATGTGCTGCGTTTTTTTTACTATTTCTGCGACTTTGCAGCATGAAAGATGAAGTTGCCGGAGAGGTTCCGGCTGCTTTCATTGTCCGATCCGACAGTTCCAACATCGCCGAGGATGAAATTAAGCAATACATCTCCAAACAGGTAAAACTCCGGATTTGGCGTTAATTTTTGCAGATTTAGTATGTTATTAGGTTAGAAATTGATGTAGATTTTGACATCGATTTCACCAAAAAATTAGGTAAACTTCCTATAATATGATATCTCGTTGTTGGTCACTGCTATAGTACATGAACTTTTGGAATGGGGTCTATTTAGTCTTTGAAAGGTTTTTATCACTTAAAGTTTGTCTGTACGTCAAGTTCTTTTAACGAATTCCTGCTGTTAACTTCGTAAATTGAATGCATAGCTATCAAATACCTAAACCTCCCTAGAAGCAGTCCAGTACGTAATGTTTCAATAGTACAATGAACGTGCGACATAAGTGCTAAGGAACGGAATTGAAGGTCTAGGGATGAATTAGAAACTTTTTATAGTACAATGCCTAGACGAACTTGAAAGTTTAGAAATTTAACTTATAATTCAAAGCTTAACATGAAATCTTGGAGATTTGATACATGGATTGTAATTACCGAGGATGTGGGATGCAGGTTGTGTTTTATAAGAGGATCAATCGTGTTTTCTTCGTGGATTCCATCCCTAAAAGTTCATCTGGCAAAATCTTGCGGAGACAACTTAGAGCTTTGCTCGCAGCCAGTATTCCAAATTAGACCCCAATCCCTACAATCCCAAAAAACTCAATTCTCTCGCTCTCTATCTCTCAAATGTCTGTATGTAAAATAGAGAGAAGGAGAATAAGCTTTGTGGATTATGTTTATATAAAATTCTGTTCCAAGGCTGCAAGTAAACCGCTCTGTAGTAGTAAAAGTGCGGCTGGTTTTCAAACTTCATATAATCAACGGCAGTTTATGAAAAAATGTTGTCTTAGTTTTGATTTTGTTATCAAGATACCAAGTCGAATGGCTGGCAATAGGAAGTCAAAGTTCTGATGAACAAACAAATTACTTTATAAACATCTCCAGATCACATAGCACAAGAACTTGCATAGTGCCAGATAAGAGAATTTTCTTTTTCAGAACATTGTTCTATGTTTAGGTCCACTAGGAGTCACATCGTAGTGGTCCAAATGTAAGAAATTGATTGGAATCAAATGTTCACAGTGTTTCTTATATTGTACGATTGAAGTCTCATAAATATTACTGAAGAATAAGAGTTTAATAACCACACATATAAAAGGATATATATCTTGATTTTGACTGTGAAGTGCTTGTCCTTGTCCAAAATGAGTAAAAAATAATACATCTATCAGTCTAGAAACTCGTTTTTTCCAGTGTCACCAATGCAGCAAAACACTGAAAAATCATTTGATTGTATGATTCATAAGCTGCCCAGTTTTGATTTTGAAGTGGAAGCAATTCACTTCTTTAGATTTTCTGTGGAAAAAATCCTCCTGTTCTCTGGTTGCCCAATGGAAATGGTGCATCTGTTTGGAACATTTAATCGCAGAGCTAATTGGCGCCCCATCATATCAGTACACACACTGCTGTTTTGAGAATATCCAACAACGCTTTTGTGAGCAATCGATATTTATATCTTCAAACAAGTTAATGCTCTTGTTAATTTTTCTTTTTATTTCCACGTCACACCCACCCACCTCTCCCTTCATTGTTTGGTAGAAAAACCTCAATGTTTAAAGGAGACGTCAAAATTCAACCTTGTTAGTTAGAAGAAGGGAGGACCACAAGTTTATAGATAAGGATGATTTTTCATTTAGTGAAAAATGAAAAATCATCAAAAAATGGTAAATTGCGCTCGTAAAGATATTTCACGTTAAAAAATGTTTGGAAGTTTAAGAATGAGCCATGCTCAAGGATCATGGAAACATAGATCTAGAGATGAAACTTCATCACAGTTTCTCTTAGTGGCCATCTTTTTATTTGGATTGATGCATGAACTTGAAAGAGTTCTAACTGTTTAATTATTAGTGAACTTGTTGCGATGGTGGGATGTGGTTGAGATGAGAGCTAGATAAGTGCAGACAAATAGGATACACAACTGAAGAAGGAAATTATGATACCTATAAAACTACGAAGGGGGGGAAGTCTCAATCCAAGCTCAAGAGAACCATTGATAAGTGAGAGTATTTGACACAGCACACGATAAACCTTATCTTTCCCTACGTGTGGATGATAAAGTGTATTAGTTTCCCTTTTTTGGTGCCTTCCAGGAGAGGTAGAAATGGTAGTCTCTGTTCCCATTACTGTATGCATAAATGACTTTTGTACCTCGTTTATCACGGCCTTTGCCTTCTGGGACTTTGTGTGTATGAGATTGAGAAGAGAACCAGATTTTATCCTTTAAGATGTTTCAATGGCCACTTTCATGAACCGAGCTGTGAGTGGTGAAAACTCAGCATCCAAAAGCCAACGACGTGTCGATTTCTCTGATGTCAATTAGTGTTGCCTTTTCTGTCTGCCACAGTTGAACTCCCGAGACCTTTTTCCCCCACCATGGCTTTTGTCGTTGCCTGCTTTCCTTCTTTTCGCCTCAGTTCGCATCCGCAGCACATTAAAAAAGTGAGAGAAAAGAAAGGCGACTCATCCGCGACCCGCTCATTGGCTGCACAAAATGATGAGACTAAAAACTGAACATATGGCCTATGACCTATCTCATCCATCTTTTCTTTCCATACTTTCACAGCCGTTTTTATCCTCTTTCTTGCCTTCTACCTTTTCCCAACAGACGTCTATTCTACATCTTAGCTTTCACAATTTTGTCTGGTCTCTTTGTCAGCTAGAATTATTTCCCGAATGATACTCTTAGAAGTCATTCAGCGACATAACAATCAAGCAATTAACAGAGGCATCTTCACAAACTTCTGAGTTCTAATACTATTGCTTCAGAATCATAAGTATCTTTTTTCAGTTTTAGGATTAGAATGATGGATATTGCAATTGTGATATACATTGTTTAGCTGAAATTTTGAGTTCCACTCCAACAGTGGAGAAACAGGGTCCGAGAAGGAGCAGGAAATGTGCTGCGTGTTTGAAAGCACATGAAATGGAAGTACTTTTTAAGGGTTGTGAATCTTTGGTTATGATGAGCACACGGGGGAAAATCACTCTTTGCATGGGCCATGCAAGGCGGAGAGAAATGTGTGAGCAGCATGGGAATATAATTTAATCGTGCTTACTGCTTTCCTTGTTTCAAACAAAAAGAGCATCATTTTGCTCTTTAATGCCGCCAAACCATCAAATCCACTCATTTTCGTTAATGGATCCCATTTGTGTTCCTTGCAACCTCAAAAGGTTGGAGAAAGTGCTAGCATTTTAGGATAGCGTTTGGAGAGGGGGACCCTATTCTCTACCACCTCTCTCTCTCTCTCTCTAAAGAGAATCCTAACAACAACACTGCGATAACCATGGAAAAGAAAAAGTTGGGATTAACTTTGAGATGACACTTCACTCCATGTCCAGTCAGTCAAGCTTTTGAATTTTCAATACCCCATATTCCCTCAGCACCAATAAAGTATTACAAACCCAAGTAGGAGATTTAGATGGATGATTGATTATTAACCACATTGTTATCTGTTTGAGTGCCACAGTGTTAGTAGTGTAGTTTAGAAAAAAATTATACTGAGAACTTCCATGTACTACAGAACAAATTTGGAGTGTCAGTGTCCTGATGAAACACCAGAAAATAAGTGTACTGATGCGTCGTAATTACGAGTGAGGTCCCGTATGTAAAATTTATAGAAACTCTTTTTACTCATTAAAACCAAACCGGCAAACCATGAACATTGTCCACTACCTTTCCATCTCAAGTTTTCTGTGTTAATAACCTTCTCAACAAGGTCCAAGAGTGAGAAACAGAATTAGAAAGAGGGTCCGCCGTCTTCATATTTTACTGTCTATATATGATCTCTCAACTTTGCGTTTTCCCCATGTGATCTATCCAATATCTTTATCCCAGATTTTTCTACGCATGCATAATATCTTTTGCTATGTGTGCTTTCCACTACTTAAAAAGTGAATATCTTTGCAGTAATAAACCTCTCTCTGTCTCTGGCTCTAGCTCTACATTTAGGATATATAGATTTTTTTGACATTTATATGGCCATTATTTTTGTATTCTACTCTGTGGAAGTATAAAAGGAACTAAAGTTCAATTGACGCTTTCTTTTTAGAAAAACCACTTGTACAAGCATATATAATCCCCTTTGATAGCCTGCAGATCCAAGCTCTGAAGATGGGCAAGTTAAATGAACTAGAAAGAAGCTTCATCTCACTTTCTCCTAACGAAAAGCTTCAAAGAGTAAGATAGAGAGATTCATTGTTTTCTTGAATAATCAGATACTGAGAAGGTGTCTGAAAATTGAATCTTTTAGACTGAATTGAAATTGAGTGACCCGGATCATTGTACTTTGACTCGGCCATTTTGAACTTAGGAGAAAGGACGCATTCCATGTATGTATTTATTATCTGAACCCAATTAAGAGAGAAAGTACGAGGAAAAAGTACATAGAGAATATATAATTTGTACATGATATCTTCAAATTTGATTCCTGTATAATGGTTGGGTGCTCAAAGTACAAGATCAAGCAGATTTCAGTAGCTGAATTAGGGCAGTGAAGAAGGGAATTAGTGTCCCATTTCAGGGTGGAGACCAGACTGAGGAGGAATTAAACCCAGTGGTCTCTGATTCAAAGACATTACCGCAAACACCGCCAAGGCTGCGAGATTATGATCCCCCAATCATTGTCTAAAAACACATATAATTATTTCTGGCTGTCGCCGATGGACCAAATTACTATGTTATATGTCTGAAATATAACAGAGTTGATCTAATTGCGTCAGACACTGATTAGTTTATGGAATTTGAGTAAAACCCATGTGCTTGGTTCAGTTTTTTATTCGAAATGATTAATATGGGTGAAATAGTTTGAAATTCAGAGAGAGAAGTCATGTGGGTGTGATTGGTGAAGTAGAAATTAAAGGTGAATTGAAAAGATTAGCAGCCATTGGTGGCTAAGTTGTCTTGTCTGGTAGTCGATGCATAAACTTTTGGGTCCTACGCCTCATTGCTTCATTGACGAGATGGAAAGATCCCATAAACACTTTCTGGGGATATGGCATCGATTTATGTTCGGTTGGGTCTCATCTCACTTTGTAAATAATTAAATCAATCAAATAAATTATTGTCATGATTATATTATATGTTTATTGTTTTTCTTTAATTATTAAATTCATAGCTACGTCGAGTTCCAAGAGCACTCATAATGTATGTATATACTATATAGTATGGTACTTAGAACAGAGATATTCTTTCAAAACTATAATCACATTATAGAAAATAGAAATTTTGGCTATCGTGATTAACATTTAAGGGTTTCATGTTGGAGTAAATCAAGATTCTTACTCTAATTTGTAGAACTTTTTTGGTACGACATGAAATTGATTTTAAGAATATAATTATTGAGTCACAAAATTCTACTATTCATACTTGAGATAGACTAAAGTTGCATTTTAACGGATTCTTTTCAATTAATATTTTTTTTTTCGGTTCTAAGTAGTGTTACACTTGAGTAAAGAATCTTGGAATAAAATTTAATAAAGAGATGATAAAATTAAAATTTGGCGTAAATTAATTAATAGATGAGAAAATAAACTTTGGAGTAAATTGAATTTGGGATAGCAGCATCTAATACTTGGGAAAAAAATGAATACAAACGAAGAATATTCAAATCAAATGGAACCAAACAACCCAAGTTACCCAATAACTAAACTAGTTCCAATTTCTAAAAAAAATGTATATGTCCCTAAATGCTTAGTGGTTGCTAATCAATTCCAAAGTACAAATTTAATATGCTATTAATTGGAAAACCTACTTTATTAGATTGCTGAATTTAAATCATATATATATATATATATATAAAATATCCACGTGGCACAATGTTAGCAGTGGCCCTAATATGTAGTTTAATTAATGAAGACTGTGCAGAGAGGGTTCAATGAACCAGAGGACAAATATTTAGGTTTGAATGGAGAGATTTAATTGAATTATTTGATAAAAGAGAGGGAAATGTGATGTGTAATGATGTTTCATGTTTGGTCTAGTCAAGATGGTTTTATCCTGTAAATGATTTATTACTTAAATTAGAAGTTGGATTGACATTTTTTAATTTCTAAATCCCTTTATGATAATGGTGTGGAAATAGTACGTTTTTAAACTAATTTGTTGACTTATTTTACTGTGATTTGACCACTTAATCAAACTACCTGCATCACAAATTTTACTCCCAATGGTAAATTCTAACCCATTTAAAATTTGGAATAAAATTCAAATTTTTCGCTTAATTGAACTAATTAAGCTTGCTTCTACTCTTAAAAGCATTTGAAATTTTGAATAAAATACAATTGTCTTTTAGCTGATTAGTTCAATTAATATTGCTTGTACTCTTAAAAGCAATTTATCTTATGCTTTGGTTAATAGAAGCTCAAAAATCAGATCCATGATAATTGATATGACATTTTGTTTGAATAATTCATAAATCTAAGAAGTTATTTAAATTGAAAAATATGGGTTGTTTGAGTAAGTTTTTTTTTTTTCTCAAAATAACGACAATGAATGAAAAATAGAAAATTTAATTTGATTTTAGACTATGTTGAGATATCAATATATGATTAAATTTACCTTAAATCATTGGCTTAAGTTTTGGGTTCATTGATAATTAAATCATGTTTAACATAATATCATAGTAGGATGTTTTGCAAATTTTCAAACATACAAGTGAGCAAGGATGTTAAATAATATTTCAATTTTAAACCTAGAAAACAATTTCAATTTGTTTCTTCTGGTATTCTCAATAAATTTTTATGGTCTTTCCTATTATTCGTCAATTCTATCTTCCAAAGTTTTATTTGATAACTTCAGTTTTTAATTTTCTAATTTTCAAATATTAAGCGAGTCCACCCATTACTTCTTTCATTTTCTTCTTTTTATTTTTGTAACACACCACTTTAAAAAGTTAGTCATATACAATAGACTTAAATGAGGGTGTTCCAATTTTAAATATTTATATCGAAGATACTATAATTATAAAACAAAGTACATCTTAATAACCAAGATGCCATATGTGCCATGGATATGAGGCTACGGTACAATATTGGAGAACAATGCCTCTATTTGGAGGGCTTAAAAAAAACCATTGTTTTATTTTGTTCTAAATTCGATCTCTTAAGAACACAACCGAGTTCTTAGTCAATTTTTAGAAACTAGAAAGACAAATATCTAGATCTCAAAACATTAACGCACACAAAGTAAAGAAATTTAAAACAAACAAATATTCACCAAATCAAAAACTAGTTCAGTCTCTAGCTATCTATGTTAGGAATACAAATGTTGACAATATTATTGTAACTAAAAAATGGGCAGTGACACAAAAATGAAAAGACCCATAAGTTGAAATGCAAAATAATTGAGCAGAAATACATTGTTTGGGGTGTGTTATTTTTTAAAACATTTTGGCTATACATGTGGGCGTTAGTGGAAAAGGAATGGAAGTAACCATTTTTAATTTTAATTTTCTAAAAATATTTTGTAGGCCGACAATCAATTTGAGTGCTGCCATTACCGGAGCCGACAACCCTTCGATCCTCACTGATTCTTTCCAGCCCCTCTGTCTCTCTCTCTCTCACTTAAATCACCAATTCCAATTTAAAAAAAAAATATCTCTTAAGCATGATTAAGTCAGATAAATTAGAGTAAATTTCTCCTCTAATACCATTTTAAAAAACAGTGATCTCAACACATTACACATATTCTCCATTCTTCTACAAAACCCACTTCCATTTCTCATATTTCTCTCCACACCCACCACCTCTTATTTTCCTTTTTTTCTGTGTGTGTGTGTGATGGAGTTCAAACACAGCCAACTGAACCTGGAGCTGGTTCTAGAACCCTCTTCATATTCATATTCCTCGTCGTCTGCCGTTGATCATGTGATTGGGAGCACTCCAAATTGTGATGATGATCAGGCGAGGGTGTTCTCATGCAACTATTGCAAGAGAAAATTTTACAGCTCGCAGGCGTTGGGTGGCCACCAAAATGCGCATAAGCTGGAGAGGACTCTAGCCAAGAAGAGCAGAGAGATTAGAGGAGGAGCATACGCTGGAGATGAGAGCTGCAACATGAACATGAACATGATGATGAACAATTCGAACCATCTTTGGAAAATTGAGACGCCACCAACGGTAATTGGGCTTTGCCCACGTGGTGGCCATGATGCTGCTGCGAGTGGGAGAGATCATCAGATGAGGGCATGCCGTCCTGAAAATCAAGACCTTGACTTGTCTTTAAGGCTGTGATTAATGTGCATGTCAAATTGTTTAGTTTCTGATCTTTCTCTTTGATTTTTCATTTTGACGTATAATTTAGATGAATTGTCGATCCAGAGTTGTTTTCCAAGTATATATGTCATATGATCGTTGTGGGTTTCCAATTTTCAGTCCATCTCGTTTAGGCGAAAAACCAAGCATCCAAGTGCAAGGTTAAATGCCCCACATTTGTTGGGCTGACCAATTTTATCGTCGTCCTCTTGACAATCAATAACAACTCATTATTTGGACGAGGGATCAAGAGACAATGGAGTGGGAATGACGTATCAATCATTCTGGTGGATCTTCCCTTTCAACAGTCACAAAGCTCTCGACTGAGTTGTTTAGGTTCTGGAATTTCACCTCTAATTGGGGGTTTCGGTTCGAAGGTTAGAAAATGTATGTGTTGCGGGTGATCTCTCGACCAATTCAAGTGAAAGGAAAGGGTGATTGAGGAGACCTAGACGTTGAGATCTCTTATCTATGAGGGAGGTTGATTTTGTCTCCACAAGTGTGTTGAGGGCTAGAGAGGGAATACCTATACCTCTAAATTGCAGTCGTAGGCGAAGGAGACAAGGGTGAGACACCGAACATGTTCTAGAGAAATGCAAAAATAAAAATTTCTTTTAAAAAATAATGAGTTGTTAAATCGAAGGACAAGACTGGTCATTCACTTGTGAGGAGCCAAGTATTTTTTTTTCCTTTTGTTTCTTTTTTTTTCATGTCCCTTGCTACCTCGTCTTTCATGTGTTTTTCCTCTCCCATCTCTCAATTTAATTTAATTCTAACTAATGTTTGGCATATTGTTTTGTTTATTATTGTGTACTCTCTCGTTTTTTTTTCTTTTTGTACGCGTGGCTATGCATTTCAAAACCTAATTAATTAAATATACTATTAAACACAGTTTCAGTTTTGATTTATTCGTGCTAATTTTTTTCTGCATGCATGCATTTATTATCGAGACTTGATCATCATAATTAAGTTTTGAAATGAATTGGATGTAAATGGTAAATCATCATAATCCCTTTTGCTCGATCTAATAATTCTCCCTTTCCAAAAAAATAATGATATATCTTGATTCTTGAGATTTAAAAGCCAAAAACTAGGTGCATTTCTAATTGGAGTCCTTACATTAGATGCATATATATACACTATACAGTAACTGGATTCCTTCATTCAATCAAACTAAATTAAATATATAATGTGAGGACTATATATTATATACTTTCAATTTCCACTAATTGAAGAAAGAAAAAATAATACAAGGAAAAAAAAAAACTCTTGATGAGTGTTTTAATTGCTTTTTCCCAACTCACATGCCCTCCTCAGGCAGACAATATTCTTTGCGTTTTCAGGCTAATTCCATTTAATTAAAGTAAAAGAGATTTAATAAGAGGACACCTATATATACACTCAATTAATCCTCATGAGTTGTTAATGCATCAATTGTTATAAAGAGAGCATTAATGTTACTTCCCACTAAAATGAAGACAAGATTAATTAAGTGAGGAATCATGAAGTTAATTTATAGATATCATGTTTGCTAAACTTTGAAACAATGAAAAAACTTTTACTTTGTGTATATATTTGATACTTTATTATAAAGTCTTGAATAATCACATTTTCGGGATCAATTTTGTCAATTTCAAGCACCAAACTTCTTTCAAGTTAACTTTTCAAATATGGTTTCAACCTCTAGTTCCAAAAATCTATGGGAGTAAATTTTGTTAAGACAATATGTATCTCCAAATAATATGATACTGTCCACTCTCAATTACACTCCGTTTATTTCATGGGATTGAGAATCAATGTAATTTTCAATCCATTTGATGGTGCTTACTATAATAAACTTTGTGGGGTCACCAAAAATTTTGTAATCACTCCCCGAGATGTTATCTCATTTCTCTCATATAACCTCATCAATCCCATTATCTTTTACTTTACAATTTTTATCATTTTACTATCATCTACTAAACAGGGTTGTTAAGGATGAATAAACCACCACTCGACCCAAAAAGCTGATGGATTGGATAAATTTGATTCATATATTAGATATCTAATAGGGGCTTAGTCTATCCCCTCGTGATTTTACTTCTAATCTCACTTAAAAGGCTCTCGTCACCTCACTTATATATCTATGATTTTATTTTTATTGAGTCAATGTAGGATTTTTCAAAAGCAAGGATATATATGTAATTGATGTGGGGGGTTGTAATTTGTTTTGAGGGAAGAATGTCTATTCTGAGCAAGTCAGATAACAACTCCAAATGAGACGATATTTCCGTTGAGAAACTCAGTTTTGCGAACCAAAAACATTCGAGTTCCCCAAGCTCAAGAAATTCGACCCAGAAAAATGAAAGAATTTTAGTTTTTGTTTAATTGAAGACGTAAATTAATAATAAAACCAAGGGATGAGGGACCCAAATTTTCTATTTTAGAGATGCCCGACGTTGCTACCAAGCCATTAAAAAGCCCCTTCTCCTAAGCTACATTTTCTCCAACCTTTGTCAAAATCTTTATGTAATTTTCAAAACTACTTCAATAATTGAAACCACCATCTTAGTTTAATACTCTCGTTTTTTCAAATTCATCACAATAACCATTTTTGGATCTTTGATTTTGGACATTTCTTTGCACTTTAATCTTTCTACTTAGTTACTTTCATTTCTTTCTACACTTATTTTTCCTTTTTCTCTCTGTTGTGAAAGATGGCGTAGCATAAAATTGGGCCAATTCAAAGCCCAACCTTTCCCAAGGTATTGGGCTTGGCGGTGCTTGGTAAGCCCGACCTTTCCCGAAGCATAAAAAATGGTTTTTTTTTTTTTTAAATTTTATGTTTTCTGTTTTTAGTTTTCAAACGAACAAAAACCATATTTGTCGGATAACAGTCTGTTATTTTTCTGTTTTTTAAAAGGAAAAACCAAATACGTTGATGACTGATTTTCTATTTTTAAAAAGTTAGAGAGTTAGATAAAGCTAGAGAGACAAAAATCTACCTAGAGTAGAGATAACATCGAGATGAGGCGGGAGTAGAGCATACCTTCTCATCCTTGAAATTTTTAATCCTTCTTTCCACCTCATTCTTCAATTTTCGAGGTCTGGGTTGAGGAATCCTCGTTTGGAGATGGGGTTGTTTGTGGTAAAAGTTACCGATTTAGTAATTAATTTTAATTTTAATAAAAATAAATAAATAAATAAAATTTATTATTTAATTGTATAAATAATTAGTTTTAAAAAATATTTAATATTTTATTCTTAATTTTACTAAAATAGTTAATAAAATATATATTTATTATTTAAAAAATGGAATTCGTGCACGGTGGGAAATACATTATTCCTTGTTCTGGAGGGGTACTCAATGCTGTGTGGGGATTTTTGTCATTAGAGGTTAAAAAAATAAAAGTTTAGAGAGGATAGAACTTTTTGAAGAGAAATTGTAGAGAGAGTAAATTTAGAGAGATAAAAAATATTTTAAGGAAAAAAATATTAGTGAGAGAAAAGTTAAAGGACAAAAAGGAGGAAGAGAGAGAAGGAGAGCCGTAAAGTTGAGAGAAAAAACATGTTAGAAAAAGAAAGAAAAACTATGGTGACAAATTTTTAGATAAAAAAATTTGAGATATATTTATTAAAGAAAAAATAAAAATACAAAAACAAAGAAAAATTACAAGGAAAGAAAATTGAAACAGAAAGAATTTAGATAGAAAAAAAGTTGGTGATATATTTGCTACTCGAAAAATAGATTAGAAAGAGAAATAAAAGTTATAAATGGTGAAATTTGAAAGAGAAAAAAGTTTGGGATAATATTAAGGTTTTAGTGAAAGAAAAATGAGACTGATATGTTAGATAGAGATAAAAATTTTAGAGAAGGAAAAAAATAATTGTAAATATTAAATTTTAGAGAGAGAAGAAATATTTTTTTAGAGTGAGAAATTTAAGTATGAAAAAGTTTTAGAGTAAGAAAGAAATTCGTTAAAGTTTAATATGCCAAAGAAAAAAAAAATTGAGCATGAGAAGAAAAATAAGATTTTGAAAAACAGTTTTTGCTCCGAAAAATATATATCCTTCCTAGTTCCTACTTTGTTTCAAAAAATTTTCACGTCGAATATATAAAACGAAAATTATAGAGTAACAGCAACATGCACGAACTTTTAAGTAAGACCAAAAGCAAAATTACAAGGAGTTAAATCAAGGGTGGTAGAACGGTACCTTTATTATTTAAATATTCATAGTATAAACTATAGGCTAAACCAAAATCAAAACATATGACTGTTATATATTGTGATTTTAATTTGCCTATCGGCTTTTCCCCAGAGGTTTAAGAGAGAAATTGTCTATAAGACTAAACTGATCAGGAGGGAAATTGTCTATTATATATGATCTAGTTCAAGAGAGAAACAAAAAAAATATGCCTAAATTATCACACAAGGAAGAATGAGAATCCAGAATACACAAAAATTATTTATATTATAATGGATAAGCTAGTTAATTAAAAGTAAAACAATAGAAATTACAACCTAATTAAGTAAACATTAAATGAGGGACTAATTAAACTAATTGTGGCTGAGATATATGATGGCATGGAAGGAGAACTATGGGAACAATTCTACATGTGCTCAAAAACAGAGCAAATTTCTCAACATCAAAGCTAAAAATTAGGTCCTTCACTAAGGATTCTGAAAATATCACTGATATCCTCATCCGTTAAGCCGCCGCCGTAGGAGCTTCCGTTATCAAATTGCAGTTCAGAATATTGTCCTGAAAAACATATCAAAACCCCACAAATTATTAAATGGCCCTAATTAAAAAGGACCATAAATAATACTATATTTAATTATACAATATTTTATACGTACCTGTCGTAGTAGCATTGTTGGGAAACGGCCAGCGGGTTGCACCAACATTATCAATCGGACAATTTCCAAAAGTTTGAGAAGTCGTTGAATAATTCAAACGATCACCTCCCAATGGACTAATAATGTTACTAGAACCAAATCCTAAGTATTGGTCACACGGTTTCAAAATCATAGAAGAAGAATTATTATCCGTTGGAAAATTGAACCATTTGAATTCAGGCACCGGAAAGTAGCAGCTTCTTGATGATAATCCTGATGGAATTGAAGGGTACTGAAATTGGGCACTTGTGGGAATTTCAGCTCTCAAATTTGCTGTGCTAAAGTTTGAAGCTTTGTTTCTAATTTGGTGTTTTAAACTACTGTAGTAGTTTTTCTGGCTAACAAATTTTCCTACTCCTCCTCCTCCTCCTAATATCTTCTTCCTCAGCCCGTCTCTGTGTTTCTGCATCCAATTAATATAATTTCAAATCCAAAAACCCAAAACTCAACCAAACTTTAAAACCATAGAAAAATTTTACAAACCTGGAGGTGACTCGCAATGCTTTCTCGACTCAATTCTGGTTCATTCATCATCTTCAGTATTTTTTTTGGGACTCTCTCTGAAACAGAAATCAATAGAGAGAAAACTTATAAATAAATGTAATGTATATATAGATATACATAAATACATTAAATCAACCTAGAATTTCATCTTACCCATTTCTTCCAATTGCTCATAAGCTTGGACAAACTTGGCATGTCGTTCCTTTGTCCATATCACCCGAGGCTTCTTCTTAGAACGCAAAGATGAACCGACATTATTAATATTATTCTTATTTTCATTATTTTTGGTCTCATCAATCTCATTCTCTTCCTTCTTGTTGAGTTTCTGATCTTCTTTTTGTACCATAATATTAAAATTGGATTTTTTACTAATTCTTTTCCGCAATACATGCTGCCAAATGTTTCTCACTTCTGGTAGCCTAACGGGCTTCAGTAAATAGGCCTCGGCTCCCTCCATAACGCTTCTTTTCACCATCTCCAATTCATCATTTGCAGATATCACTGGAAACAAAAATATTCAATATAATTCAATTTAGGGTTTTGGAAGTGGAAAAAAGTTAATAGGGTTTTAATTTTGGAAACTTACTAACAACTGGAATGTCCATTGCATGATCAGTAATAGTGTTAAGGAGCTTGAAGCCATCCATGTCAAGTCTGACAACATCTGTAATAACGATATCGAAAGCTTCTTTCTCATCCTTCAGTAGTCTTATTGCTTCAGCGGCTTCCGTAGTCGCAGTTACTAAAAAAAAAGGTTCAAAATTTAGGGTTATATGTCGAAGAATCGCATTGATGAGATTTTTCCCTCTTTTGAACCCTATATTTCATTCAACATTAATTGTGCAATTCCTTCCTTCTACGTCAGTTTTAGGGTCTATTCAGTATTTGGGTTTCGATTGAATTTCACAAATCCCTTCGTCAGAGCGCCATTAATCAACTTTTACGTTCTTCTTGGAACATACCCATTGCGGTTTTTAGGGTTCTTTATGGGTGAAAGGAGTTGAAAATTATACAAAACATGAATTAAACTTTTTTTTTTTTTGAGGGGGGAAAAATCGAAAGAAAAGGAAGTACCTTTATATTGACACTTTCGAAGAAGGAGAACCAGATATTTGAGGCAGACAATATTGGCATCGATTGCAAGAACTTTGAGACCAATAGGAAAGTTTTCGTCTTCGCCCTTTTGTTGCATACTCAATAATCCATTACTATGATCCTTCTTCTCTTCCATAATCTTGAAACCCAAATTAGCTGCTGCAGAATTTTGAGGCTTTGTTTTTTTTGTTGTGTAACACGAGATGGGGTTCAGTTTTTTGAGGGGAAAAAATCTTGGGGACGAAGTTAAATATATAAGAAGGGTGCTTGCAGGGTAAGGTTGGGAGAGAGTGAGATAAGGAAAGTTTTGGTAGAAGACGATGGAAAAGATACTGGTAATTAATGTGGGATATTTTTTCCTTAAAAAACATGAGGGAAACAATTGGACTATTTGTTTGAAGAAGCAAACTTCAATGGTTTGTGGATCCGTCGTATGGGAACTGAGTGGAAAATTCCCAAAAGTATCTTACTATTCCAACGCCTTGCTTGCGACCATGTCATGATGATTGTACAGAAAAAAAATAAATGACAAGTTTTTTAATTCTTAAACAGCCAAAAAAATCGATCGAACATATAACCCATGAATCGTTGAACTCCCGTTTTTTTTTTTTTTTGCTCTTAAACTAATGCAACTTTGTAGATTCCATGTCAAGACAAAATAGCTCCATAGCTTTGTCGTATACACGTGGATGGCAAACAGCTCAGAAAAATTCAGTAGACACAAATTTGAAAATAGAGAGGTTTATTAGATACAAATTTGAAAGTTCAAAGACACTCAAAATTGTATTAAATATGAAATTTAAAGTTTAGTAATTTATTCAACACAGTTTTGAAGATGAGATACTAACTCTTTCATTTTATGACTGAATTGAAAGTTGAAATCAAACGAAAAATATTTAACTCCTTACTCAAGATCTATTTTCATCATCATCTTGTTCAAAATTTGACAACTCATTATAAAAAAAAAAAGAATTTTTGTCTTTTGCAATTTTTTTTAAGATATGGAACATTCAATAGTAAGAACAAGATAGTCCTAATGGTCCTCAAACCAGAATTAAAAGGAGAGGATTGGCGATGAATTAACACTCGGGAGGAAGACCTTGAGGGAAACGAGCGGTGTCATTACAATAATCATAGAACATAAAGTTGCGTTGAGCCCATTTCATGCGTCGTTGACTTCCATAATCAAGTGTGGAGGACGAAAGCCACGTGGCCGAACTTGAACTGCAGTTGGATTTGGATTTTCCATTATGGTCGGACCATAAGCACCCATCGGCCCTTAAATTCTTGAACCACGCTCGGAACGGCGCTTTGGTCCAGTCTGTCTTCACCGCCCCACCTCTGGTGGCCCAGCTTTCCGCGTTCCAAAGGCTGCCGTATAATCTCATCGGCTGCCGGAGCGGGAACGGAGCTCCCGTTTCTTTCTTGTTCTTCAACTCTCTTATCGGAATCCCGTCCACGTACAGACTGTCACAACTCAACAAAACATAACACACTTTAAATTAGAATTAGTTTGAGGAAATATTGCAATAAACATAATTAGGGATTAATTTGAAATAATACTGACACGATATGCAGAGGAGTCCAGAGAATGGTGTAGTTGTGGAAATCCTTGGTGGGGTCAAACCAAAGGAAGAATTGGGTCTCTCTTTTGCCTTCTCCATGAATGAACATATTGGTCTGAAGAATGTAAGGATCCCCATCAACTCTCCCCAAGAATTCAAAGTCTATCTCGTCATGAAACTCCCCCACAGACGACACCTGAACATCCCATCCAAATTAAATCATCCATAGTACACAAAACAAAACAAAATTAAATTCATTCATTAACACACACAATAGGCACTACTCACGTAAAATGCAGTGACAGTCCCCGCAGAATTCCCCGGGACCAGCTTGATTTGCAAATCCATCTTCGCAGATAAGTATTGATTTCTAGACCGGAAACAGGAGCCGGAGGTTCTGTCCAGAGACACGCTCATGACTTCCCCATTTTTGAGTATTTGGGCTCGGCCATCTCCCCAGATCTGGTCAACCTCCTCGTAGAAGTTGGCAGAGGCAGCCATTAAAGCGCTGCTGATCATAAGACAAACAAATAACAAAGAAATTGGAAGTTTCTGATGTTTCATGACGGCCAAAATTTTGATCTGGATATTGCAGGTTGTGTGGATATTAATAATGTTTTTGTGGGAGATGTGACCAACCAAATCCACACAATTGTATATTACCACAACGTGACACCCACAACGTAATTAAGAAAGCGTGTTCATAGTATTGGAAACCCAAAAATGCCATCTCCAAAGGTATCAACTGTGTTGATATATTAGTTGAGATCACACCAATTAAATAAAAATGTAAAAGTTTATTTATATATATATATATTTTCTTTTTTGTTTAATCAAGATCTATCCGGTTAATTAAATTAACATATAGATTCGGATGTAAATTAGTATTGAATTGTTACATCGATGAAGTAATTTTTGAATTGAGTCAATTTTGCATGGTTGATAGAAATATTATAAATATTTTAATGCAAGGGCTGTGTGGATAATCATGAATAGGAGGGGGAGGGCATTACGGGAAAAATAATCCCAAATATCTAGTTTTGAGAGATATTTGAGCGGAAAGAATGAAAATCCCGGCACATTTTCCAGCTGGATAAAATCTTACACTTTGAGCCACGTAGCCATTTTCGGGGCCCCTTTTGGCACCTGTCCAATAATCTCCTCCACTTTTACCCAACCCAAAAATATCTCTTGCTTTGGAAAAAATAGACCCAAAAATATCTCTCTTAGATTTTTACCATATAATAATAAAATAAGTTTTATCTTGCATCCCTTTCACAAATTGTATTTTATTTTGGAGTAAATCAAAGAAAATTTTCATTTTATCAAACAGTGAAATTAATATTCAATATTTACAGCATTTTTTAAAATTCTTAAAAAGTACTATCTTCCCATGCTTAAAGACTATTAAATCATACTATTTTAGTTGCAGTTATGTTGTTATTTCTGGTGTATTTTGTTAAGCAGTTATTTATTTCGGTTTAATTTTCCATATCAGTTAGTGTATTTTGGTCTATAAATAGGTCTGTAATATCTTTAATAGGGTAGTGGAGAATTACCTTTATTTTTCAAAAGGTATTATTACTATCAGAGCATTGTTGTTCCTCCCCATTTATTATAATTTCCATTGGGTCTTGATGTTGTTTTCCAAGCCCACAAGTGAGGAGTGTTAGAATCTGAATTAAATTTACCCAATCAATTTGGATTTTGTAGGCTTGAAAATTAGATTTGGATACAAGACACTCTAATGCAATTTTAAAGATAAAAAATATTAAATCACCAATGAATGTAAAATGTTAAGCGTCTAAATTAGACTAAATTTAATCCAATATAAATATTTCAACCATTATTGTGGTAGGAAATGAATTGAAAAATGTCTAGCCAAACTAATTGGGATTTTTTGGGTGACCCTGAATCTATCTAGTGAAAAATTATTCCAAAAGATAACAAAAATAAATTAATATTTAAAAAAAAAGTTTCGCTCTTCAATAGTTAAGACTAATATTGTATTCTTGTATTTTGACTACCATTAAATATTTTTTTACTATTGACACCTGAATATGAGCTAAAATCAACTCCAACGAAGAACCAAAGTATGTTACTTAGAAAATTTGACTACTGATTTTCCCATGCATACCAATGGAGGAAATAAATTCAAAAAAAAAAAAAAAATGGGCACATTTTTTTTTGTCTTTTTGTTTTTTGTTTTTTGGTTTTTGTTTTTTTTTTCCTCCTTTTATAAACAAAGCACAATCTTGGGCTGTTGCCGATCGATTAGCGGCTAACTATTTTCCACGAAAATATGAGTGGAAATTTTCTCAAAGCAATCCAAATGTAGATAAACAGATTCGAAACACCAAACTTGAAGAACAATTCAACTCTCTCCAATGTTTTTCGTCGATAAAACAAATATTAATCTTCAAATTCCAAAAGTGGTGTGTACATTATAGCTATACTAATACAATACAAACGAATATCGGCCATTATTGTAAAAGCAACAAAAGAATCATACATCAAAACAATCCAAAATCTAGGCAGTGGCATTACATTCCGGAGGCAGCCCCTGAGGAAATCGCTTCGCATCGGCGCAGTAGTTGTAGATCATGTAGTTCTTCTGGACCCAGTTCAGTTTTCCCTGGCTGTCGGAATCCAGCTCCTGCGAGAACCACGACTTGTCGTCGGCGGCCGGCGACGAACTCGACCCACAAGAAGACTGTCCCGACAACCAAACGCACGCGTTTTCGTTGAAATTCCGGTAAGACGCGGTGAACGGTGCGTTGGACCAATCGGTCTTCACCAGCCCACCTCTGGTTGCCCAGTCATCGGCGTTCCACAGACTCGATTGCAGCCTCATCGCCTGATTCTTCGGGAACGCAACTCCAATCGACTCCATGTTCTTGAACTCTCTAATCGGCGTGCCGTCCACATAGAAGCTGCCACATAAATTCAACTTCAATCTTCCATTTCCAGGCTGATAATTGAAAATAATCGAAAATTGAAATTGAAACCATTATAATTTTAATTTATACTTACACAATGCGCTGGGGATTCCAGAGAATGGAATAGGTGTGGAAATCGGCGGTTGGGTCGAACCAGAGACGGAACTGTTGCTCTCGGTCGCCCTTTCCTTGGCTGAACACATTGGTGTGAAGAGTGTAAGGATCGCCGCTCAAATTTCCCAAAAACTCGAAATCGATTTCATCCCACGCCGACCCTTCTGACCGCAACTGCAAATTCAGTCAAATTCATGTATCAATTAATCAACCCATCCACCGAAAATGAAAAAAAAAACAGAGCATTATATTAATTGAACTTACGTAGTAGGCAGTGACAGTGCCGGCAGAGTTGCCAGAAACAAGCTTGATTTGCATATCGATTTTGCCGTAGAGATACTCGTTTCTGGAGCGGAAGCCAGAGCCGGAGGCTTGGTCGAGGGAGAGAGTGAGAAGGTCGCCATTGTTAAGAATCTGAGCACGTCCGTCCCCAAACGTAATGTCCACTGCTTGGTGGAAATTAGCAGCAGAGGCAATGAGCAGAGAGCCGAATAGTAAAGAAATTAGCAACAAATTGCTTGAGAGAACAGCAGAGGAGGCCATGGGAAATTAATGATGTTTGAAATTTGGAGTGGGATGAGAAGCTGGGGAAGGGGAGCAGAATTTATATAGTGGGATTTGGAGGAGAAGAGGAAGGAAAGAGGGGAGAAAGTTCAGTTGAGTAGAGTTCCTTGGTGTATGTGTACCGCCATGGGGATGTTGGATACAGCTAAGTGGGCACAATTTGCAATGGTCTAGGAATCATCCTGGAGATGGAGCACCAATTTTCCTTCATCGTCTAATGCTGAGGTTGGTGTTGGTTGACCCACTCAACGAAACACCTAAACAAAATTATGGGCATTAATTTTGTTATAAGGAAATATTTGAATTGTTATTAATGAGTTTGAATAAGTTTTCGTTGTATTCGTGGTGTTACGCGTGTTGATGAGTGTTTTTAAATATCTTATTTTAATTTTGAAATTTGCACAAAAAGAAATTTAATAGAAATTTTGCATTAATGTCTGTGCACAAATTGGAGAATACAGCGTTCCTCCGTAACGCGACAGCTGTCCCTTTGGTTCGATTATTCGCCGCGTCTTCCAAGCAGCTCGCCGACTTCTATTCTTTTATCATATTTTCCGAATTCCAATAAGTGCTTTTGCACACGCCACGTCATCGTATCACCAATTACTATTTACTATTCAACAATACGTATGGTTAGGTGTTCTGAGTACCATTCAAATTTTAGTAGGTAAGAATTAAGATGCAGAGGTGTAGAAAAGGGAGATATTTTTTTTATTTTCTTAAAATAATTGTCAAATTCTTTTGTTATTGATGGCAGCAAGATGTATTTTTCTTTATCATTGCCAAAGTTTTCTTAGAGATAGAGTGGAAAATTTTCTAGTAATTAACCTATCTATTTATTGTTTGTTACATTAGTATCCTATTAAAAATAATATAGGATATATTAATATTAAAAAATAAATTATAATGTGAACCGACAAAGTAACTATATGAACAAAATTAAATTGATTAAGACATATATCTTCAAAAAAAAATTGGAAGTTTGAATTATCATCTCATATGTTGAATTCAAAAAGTAAAAATAAAAACATCTACGAGTAAATATAAAATTTTAAAATGATACTTTTAACTCATTTATTTGGAGTTGGAAGTTAAAAATGAATATATATATATATATATATATAAATTTTCATCTCAAATATATTTTATGAAATGTACCTTAAATTGAAATAAGTATTGTAATAATTATACTCTAGTATTGAATAAGCATTATGGTTTTTACATTAAACTTGAATAAATGTTATGATTTTTACCTTCGAGGTTTTTCTGAGAAAAAAATTCTTCATGTGCACTTAATTAGTGTAAAATATATGTTTAGTACAAAAATAATAGAATTTAAAAGAAAAAAAACATTATAGTTAGCTTTTTTTTTATTATTGAGATGGTGAGATTTGACACAATTGTTCAACCATTGTTTTTGTTAATTGGAAACTTAATTTTGTGGAAAATTTAATATTCAGTTGTAATTAGTGAGTTATTTTTCTTTTTTGGGTAATTTTTTTATATTACCTTTTGTTAGAATGAGTGGATGAACCATAAAAATTACAACAATTTAATTCGATAAAAGTGAAAGTTTAAATGAATTTAAAAGTAAAGAATGTGATTTTCCCCATATTTTTGAAATATGGTTAGGCTATGGAATAAGTAACTTTCCATTTATTGGAAACTTGACTACAACTCTCTTGCCAAGAGAATTCATCACTTTTCAAAGTTCAACATTTTAAAATTTCACTTTCGTCTATGGCTTGAAATAAAAAAAAAAAATCATTGAATTAAAAAGTCAGTGGTTGATTATTTGAGTATGGTCATCTCTTCACGAGATGTTATAATATTAAAAGAAATTAGCAAAAGAAAAGCAATAAGCATAGAACTAATAATTAAATATCCACGTTAAAAAGACAACAGGCGTAACAAAATGAATGTTTAACTCAAAATCTAAATAATTTTCAGACTGGAAAAGAATAATATATGAATATGGGAACCAGCTGGAGATGCAGGTAGAGGTTTATTATAGTATATATGTGAAGCTTACGCGGTTTTCTTTTTGAGCAGTGTCTTCATCTTGGGTGTTGTTAAAAGGGAAAAGAGTTGTGAGGCTTTTGTTCTGCTTCTGCAGCGCATCTCCCAACTCTGGCTTGGCTGCATTTACCTACTACCCTTCACCCACTTCCACTTCTTCTCTTTCTCTAACAATAATAAAATTAAATAATAAAATCAATTATTATCTAGTTCTATTTCTTGCCCAGTTTAAAAAGTGTTTAACAAGTCATTAAATTTAAATTTGAAAAATATTTAAATGATTCAAGTGTCCGTAAAATTAATAAGAGATACAATACATAAATTAAGAGAACATAAATTCTTTTTTTCTTTCAATAAATAGTTGTCAATTTTCCATTGTTGATAAGTAACTTGAAGGTAGCGGGTAGATATTTATTGACCTATAAATATCTAACAATAATTCCCTAAATTTACAATATTGTATTTAATAAGATATTGTATTTTTAGAGTCTTAATTTTGTGTTTAATAAATAGATCTTTTTGTTGGAGATAAATGTCTTGAAATTTGAACTATGTTCAGATTACTATATTCAATGTTTTTTAAATGTCAAATATGTCAAGTACCTATTAGACACTTTTTAAAGGTGAAGAATTAAACTCGTAACTTAACTAATCAATTATTTAATGTGACTAACATAATATTGGCCATATTTGATGTAATCATAATTCTACAATAAAAGATTAAAGTATAGTTTTTAAAATTTCTCCATCCTAGATAAATTGTTAAGTATATTTTATCTAAAAAGGTCTGTGTGTGTGTGTGTATGTGTGTATATATATATATATTATTTTTAAGGTAATGAATTATTTGATTCAATCTTTGTAAAATAACAGTATTGAAATTATTGGTACAACAGCACAGTGATGTGATATTTAAACACAGGATCCGACTCCTCCCAAAATTTCAACGAGTTGGAGGTATACATTCACTCAAAACATATATATTTTATTACTGAAATTATTTATTATTATTATTCTTATTTTTATATTTGTGAGTGTCTGGATCAGTTTACACGCACTTCGACTAATCTCACGTGGCAATTACCGCTTGATCGTACAACATTCGATGTAGGGAAACACATATGAATTACTAATTACTTGACTTTGAACTTATTCCTTATTAATTAACCCTAGTCGTCGTCATCCTGATTCTTTTATTTATTTATTTTAACAACCCTCCTTTTTCATTCATTGAACCATTTCCTTCTATATTTCACTTGTTTGTGAGGCGAAATCATTATTAAAACTTTGTGCTCATATGTTCATTTTAGTCAAATCAAGAATATAACTTTCATTCTTATTAGTTTAAAGCTTGTTTATAAATCTAAAATAACATATATTTTGTAGCATTATTTCAATATATTTCAAAATGTAAAATTCGCACTACGAATTATAATTTTTCTTTTTAATAAAGTATAATGCTATTGATAATGTTTTTTTGATTGGTTAGTTTGATGCTATGCTATTTGAAAAGGAAAAAAAAAATCAACTCAATATAAACTGGATACGACAAAAAGCTAAAAAGTTATTTTGCCTTTTGATATTCAAACAAACAAAAAAGTAATATTCTCTACTTTACTAAAATATTTGAAATCAGTATTAATGCCAAATAAAAAGTCTAGAAGTTTCGTTCAATATATTTAAAAGAATGTAGTGAAATAATTATAAAGATTAATTTCTAATAGTGTGAAATTTAAATTCATCACAAATTCACAATTAAGCATGCCAAAATTGATAATTGTCATCCATGGCAAAAATAAAAAACCAATGCGAAGTCGGTTATTTTATTCATTTAATTACTCGCAATAAAATAGGTACAGGACTTAAAATAAATTAAATCTTAACAGAATTAATCTTCCGCCTATGGCTTGGTGGGGAGAGTGCACTCCGGAGGAAGGCCTTGAGGGAATCGCCTTTTGTCAGCGCAGTAATTATAAATCATATAATTCTTCTGAACCCATCGCAGCATCCTCTGGGTGGCGGAATCGAGCTCCTGCGACAGCCACGGCGCGGCGTTCCGGCAAGACGACGCTCCATTGGACAACACGCACGCATTGGGATTGTAGCTTCTGAAGGAAGCCGTGAAGGGGGCCTTGGTCCAGTCCGTCTTCACCAGCCCTCCTCTCGTGGCCCAATCGTCGGCGTTCCATAGGCTGCCGTATAGCCTCATCTCCTGTTTGTTTGGATACGGCGTCCCCATGGATTCCACGTTCCTGAACTCTCTGATGGGCCTCCCGTCCACGTAGAACCTGACCCGGCCCAGCCCAAAACACATAGTCAAACAAAAATTCCATCACTATTCGATCTTCAAGGAGGACGATAGTTTATTAATACTTACACTATGTGCGCAGGATTCCATAGGAAGGAGTAGGTGTGAAAATCAGCCGTTGGATCAAACCACAGGTAGAATTGCTGCTCCCTGTTGCCTTGTCCTTGTGTATACACATTCGTATGTACAATGTAGGGTTCCCCACTCAAGTTTCCAAGGAATTCGAAGTCTATTTCATCCCATGACGACCCTTGCGAGCGCAACTAATAAATAATTAGAACAATTACTTAATTTGTTGATTAAAACACACCAAAAAAAGAAAAAGAAAAGAAAAAAGTGGACTTACATAATAGGCGGTGACTGTGCCTGCTGAGTTGGCAGGAACGAGTTTGATTTTCAAATCGAACCTGCCGAAGAGGTATTGCTTCTTTGACTGGAAGCCTGAACCAGAGGCTCTGTCAAGGGACAGAGTAAGGAGATTCCCATTCTCCATTATCTTTCCCCGGCCATCTCCCCATGTTACGTCCAGTTCCTGGTAGAAGCTCCCAGCTTCTGCCGTCTTCAGTACAAACCCCATAAGACAAGGAAGTAGCAAGAACAAAACTAGGGGATCAGGAGAGTAATTATTGAGCTTTTTTGGAAAAGAGCAAGAGAGAGCCATTTTCAAAACAAAATTGTGTAATATTGTTGAGGAATGAAGAGGGCAGCGTTGGTTATTGCCATTTTTATAGCCCCCCAGAGGCTAGCTGATCTCGAGAGGATGTTAGAAAGTTCCATGGAAATTGAAAAACTTGGGTTGTTGGGGGGTGAAGTGGGATAATCCAGCTGGACGGCAAAAGAAAAAAAAAAAAAAAAAGCTAAGGTCAAAACCGATCAGATTCAGAACTAATGGTTTTCGCTTTCAGCTGTGTGACTAAGCAGACAGATAATGGTGGAAGCTGCTTCTTAGTGCAGCAGTATTATTAATTTGTTACACACAAAATCTAGCACCATTTGGCAACTTCCTAGGTTGGCTCTTTCCGAACCACGTCCGGGTCTTGACCCTGTCTTTGTCCAAATTAAGAATACGTCGTTGTCCTTTTTTTTTAAAATAAATATTATGAGGTGTTGACATCAATGCTATTAAACTCTTTTTATACGAAATTAAAAGTAAAATAACGAGAATATATGTTTAAAGTGAATAATACATCTACATCTTACCTCTATGGAAAAAAAATATATAGAGTTTCTCTAATAACTTCTAGTCCAATGGGCTATTGAGTGACTGCAGAGTGCAATTAGAATATATAGAACGGAAAATACTTGGCTCCTTAACGGTAAGGAGCAAATTTACTCTTGAAAATTTAATAATTCATTATTTTTTCGAAAAAAAATTCATATTTTTACATTTCTCACTCTTAGTTGTCAAATATTTAATGGTGGTGAGGACACACTTACTCGTTACCGTTAAGGAACAAGTATTTTCCGTATAGAATTCAGTGTGTTTTGGTGTGCAATTTTTTATTCTAGAAAAGCCACGGCCCACCTATAGATAATGGTCCTAACCCATTTACCTTCATTTCATTACTATGAAGAAAAGGAAAAAAAAAAAAGAATGGCACAAAGGATGGCCGCCCTTAATTTCATGTCATTTGCAGCCTTGTTCCGGTTCCCTTTCGGCGCACTTCACAGTGCTGTAATATAATAGTAACCAAAAATGGCTCAAACTTCAAACTAATTTCTCACCCTATCCTCTCACTTTTTTCATAAATTTATTAAACAAATTTTAATTGGATTCAATCATTAATAATTAATTATCTTTTTCAAGCCTACCTCGTTCTGACCGTGACCGTGCCCTTCAAATTTTTAATTATTGTTATGTATCTCATTACGAGTCCTAACCTGCTAACCTCCTTTTCATAAATAAATTAACTCAATTTTGATCTACTCGTGTTAATTTCTTTATTTCACGTCCTTTTTTTTCTAAAAATAGATAGAAAATTAATTTCTAAATTTTATTCACTACCTTTGCTTATTTGTCTATACCCTTTTAACTAATGAATCACCATCCTTGTACATGTAATTTATTTCCATCATGATATTATTGTTTTTCCAATTAATATTAATAATTAAATAATTTATTTACTTCTATTTAATCTTAGTAAATAATGATTTGTATTTAGATTTAGTTTAAAAATTTGTAGTGGAGAGGTTACATTCGTAGTATATCAGATACTAATATCAATAATATATTAAATGTATATCACATACATATTGTGCATATATTCATATCAGTAATATATAAGATATATATCATGACGTATATCAGTAGTCATATATATTACAGATGTATATTATTTTGACAAATTTGTCATTTTAAAAATATACATTCGTTTTTTTTTTAAGTGTTGTGTTTGAAAAAACTAAATATGTTTACTATTTTGTTAATTTTAATAAATATTTTTGTCATATTTGCAACTTTGTCTATTAACAAAATTGACTAATATAATTATTCTCCACCTAATGTGCTGGAATTGAATAATACAACGTTATTCATAAAAAACAAAACTGAAGAGTTTGACGGGTTTCATCCACCCCTCGTATGGGGCATTGGCATTGGGGATATAGTCTTCGCTCCCATTGGATTAGATAATATATAATATTTCTTTAAGCGCCAAACAAATTGAGAAATCCCACAATCGAAAATGTATAAAGGCAACTATAGCTTCAACGAGGAACTTGGCTCTATCATTTTCAATTTGGACACTTTAAGCATTGCAATTATTCGTTGTTTTCCATAATTAAATTTACTTTTAACCATAAGTCACATTCCCTCCCTCAAACTATATATATATAAAAGAAGTTAGTTTTTAGTTAAAAATGCTATTAAAATTAAGTTGTACGCCCACAAACCTTCCTATCGTAGAAACAACCCAATTGTAACTTCAATATGTATATCTCTTCTTTTAATTTGAAAATTTCACCTTTTGGATAAATGAGATGGATTTCAACCTACCAACTCTACCAAAAAGAATATAATACTTAATCATTTGATTCTGTTAAATTTGACTATCATTAAATATTCATTTGAGCCATCTTTTATATGTTCTTTATACAGGTCTTAATACGATAGTAATTTTCAAGTTAATCTTTTTTCTTCGAGTTACTTTATTGTTTAAAATGTTTCAATTTAATCTTTTTATATTTATTTTTTTCCTATGATACACTCTCATTATATTGTTGGTCAACTTTGAGGTTAGTTGATAGATCAACTTATTGACACCATACTTATTTAAGCAAAAATATTGGTTGAAGGAATTAAAGAAAAGTTTGTTAAAATTTTGGAAGAGGAACTGAAATCTAGAGGAATTATAAACTTTATTTTCTTTCCGTCATCTAATTTCGTCAGTCCATTTTAATATTCACTAGCAACAATGAAAGGTACAGTGGAACAATGTTATTAAAATATTAGGGATTAAATTAAAGAAATATCCAGTTAAATTATAAATGAAATTAGGTTAAATTACAAAAAATACCCTGAGATCTTTTCATTTTGTTTCAAAAAAAAAAATACTTCCTCTCAAAAGTTTCAATACTACCATTGATCTTTCATTAACGTTTTTAAAATACCCTTTAAACAACCATGTGCATTAATATTTTGAACAAAAGTTGGCAACATAGTCTAGAGCAACGTTACAATAAACATAAAAACTTATTTGGATTAAGTCTGAAAAGAGAGTAAATGTGGAAGAAGCTGATATCGTTGTTAAAAGAGGAATTATGTCAAAATTAGTTAGACAATTGAAGAAGCTATTAAACTTTAACATGTGGGAGTGGGTGTTTGAACAAATAATTTTTTGTCCGAATTACATGCTTTTAAGCTAGTTTCAGGTTGGGGAAAAAATTTACACACTCTCCTGACAATGAAGAATGTAGATTTTTATGATAAAATTGAGACGTTAATTGCCATGTAGACTTCAACTTTTCGTTTCAAAATAGTAAGGAACGTTTGTTTGTTTAAAGCGTGTTTTGAAATGTTTATGAAAGATCAAGAGTAGTATTTAAACTTTTAAGAGAATAGAGATATTTTTTAAACAAATGATAAATTTCAAATGTTTTTTCTTTTTCTTTTCTTCTCTTTTTTGTAACTTAGTCATGAAATTATAAAGAGAAATGGATAACCCAATGTGACAAAATGGACCGACAAATAACCATATGATCAGTCGGTTTATTTGGTGCCTTGCGTAACATTACGTTGTCTCTGTTCATCAACCGAATACGACCATATATGCTTCATCCCATTCCCAGTAACGACGAAGAGACTGAAAGGGAAATGAAATAAATTATTCATTTAAACATCAGTTTTTTTATTCCTTTCTTTTTTGCATTAATAAGCAACAATTATTCATTCAAATTCCACTAGTTAATCGAATCAGATCAGATCCATATATGTAGATGGATTCCTGCAGATGCCATAAATCCAAGTGCACCCATTTGATAGATTTGCCATTCATGATGTTTTAATCTCCGAGAAATTATAATTAATATCGTAGTACTGTTAATGGATACAGAAATTAAAGAATTATCATTTTAATGCAATTTCATGATTATGAGATCATTATTATTTATGCTATTAAGGTCAATAATTTATACGCAAATTCCAACATGGTTTAATTGTAATTAATGGTTGAACTCACATAATAATAATAATAATAATTTAACGGTTGTCATTTGTAAATATGACTCTCTTTTCCTTGTACATTGTCTGAAGCGATCAATGTCTAAATGTAAATGAGTGACAGCCGTCTATTACAAATAAAAATGCGATTTCTTACTTTGTGATAGTCATGAAAATCGTTTTAATTACAAGATCATTACTAGAAACCTTTTATATGAAAAAGTAAGTAAATTTTGTATTTATTCATATCATATAGATGGTACCCAATAAAATGGAGGAAAATTCTGAATTGTATTACTGCCACATATTTATATACGTGGAAGTAGAAGAAAGAGCCACTGTACCATCTTTTAAATTAATAGAACTAGATATCAAAAAAAAAATAAAAAAAAAATTAATAGAACTAACTGTCAACTAAAATAATTACAGCCAATTTCCATTCATACACGTAGTGTTCATTAGACAATTAGACAAGAAAGCAATTAACAAAACAAAAAAACAAAAGAACAAAAGTAATTGAAGAAGAGTTTTTTATTTTATTTATGTGTATTCAACCGTGTCAATTCTAACCTTTAAATAGATGAGGTAAAACAACTAAGTTTAAAAATATAACAACTTGAAGATTTTGTATAACAATATTATACCAATATTAACAATATCAACTTAATCGGATGAAAACCAACTTGACCTCTCCCGACTTGGGTAGCATGTTCAAACTTCTTAAATACGATTAAATTATTAATAAATCAAAAAATTTAAATGGATGAATTAAGATAAATTAAATCATTTAAAGCGTGTTTGGTTCTCAAGTTTTCCTTGATTTATTAAATATAAATTTGTTAAGAATGAGTTGTTAAGTGTGAGTCTGTTAAATTTGTGTTTAAATGACCTAGAAAATAGGTTTATTGATGGGAGGAACACCAAACATATCCCAAACTTCTCGCTCCCACCGGCCGGCTGATGGAAATAGACTGACAACCGGAGATATTCGTGTTACTTCGTCTGCACTGGTTTGTACACGAATGCATGAGTTCTATATCGAGTATTCAGTAAATTATAGACCACTTCAAATCTGTGTTTTTTAGAGGGATAAACAACTCCGATCAAAAAATAGAATACGATCAAGATCGATGAGTCAAATTAAGAACTATGATCTTGAGAAGGACATGTTAAGAATCTCAAATTCAAGAAAACTCATAAAGGTTTATAAATGGGCATGGACTACTCTCAATTAGATTATTATTTTCATGATACTCCTCGCAGTCTCCATAGGATAATGTATCTAATACAATTGTCAACTTAAATCAAAATGATTTAGAGGGAATAAGTTCAAATCTCGTGATAACCGTCTACTTAAGAATGAATTTTTTCTATATTTCGTCTCAAACAACCAAATATAGTAGAGTGAGATTAATCGAGATAATGAAACTAGTTATTATAACAAGAATTATATTTTTATATGTAGTTAGGATGAATTGCAATAGTCTAGTTCAAACCCAAAAAACTTAGACCCGAATTGATAATCATTTTTTTAGTTTTTGTTGTTTTCAAAATTAAGCTTATAAATACTATTGCTATCAACGTGTTTCCTGGTTTTGTTATCTACTCTAAAAAAGCGTTTTAAATCTAATAATTTAAAAATTAAAAAGTGTAGTTTCTATCTGTATAGAAAAAATCATAGATATCTATAGATATGTGGCTTAAGGTGGTGAAAAAAAGGAATGATATGCATGAGGCATTGGAATTGTTGATTGCAAATTGTGGCGTATTAAATCTAATTTATAGGTAATTAAATAATTAATATGTAACCACAAATTAAAGTGGGATTCTAAATCAAGTAGTTAGCAAGTAGCAAAAGCTGGATGCAAAACTCTACTCTAATATATCAAACTGAGCCCAAAGCCAGCTTGCAAAGTAGGTAAGTGTATGAAAGGAAAAGTAAAATGAAAATGACCTTTTGGGTTATGGGGCCAAATTGCATTAACTACTTGCAACCAATGAATGAATTTTAGCTACTCATCCAAACTTTAGTATTCGCTCAAATAATCCGATTGACATTATAATTCGAGAAGGTTAGGGAGACTGATTATAACAAAGTCGGAAAAAATAATCCTACTTTCACTGATACAAGCTAACTTAAATAATTATATACCCATTGAAAATCAAAGAAATCAATTATATTCGTGTCGCTCTCAAGAGAAGAAAAACAAAATTTTGTGGCAAAGAAAAAATTGTAGGAAAGTAAAATCCTTCGGCGTAGGCCTACCAACTCCTGCACCATAGACACAGATATTTCCATATGCTCCTCTTCGATGTCTGTCGTATTATACTCTGATTGATGTACGGGTGTTTTTTACACCAAGAAAAAAAAAAGTATCTTCTTTGCTTGGCTGCTAAAATTAATTCGGAAAGGAAAAAAAAAGTATATATATATTAAAGTCTGTTTAGGAGTGATTAGAATTAATGACGGTTAAAAAAAATATTTAAATCAATCGCGAAAGTGATACCTTCAAAATTAATTTAAAATGATTTTAAAATTAATTTTTTAATTTGTTAAACATGATGTATAGCAAGAGAAGTGATTTTGACAACGATAAAGATAATTTTCTTTGGTGTATTTTGATGGACAGTTTTCTTATTTTTATTTTAGTTTCTATAATTTGCCCTCGTGCATTTTGCGTGTGTGGATGAGCATGAAGTTAGGTTGAATAATAAATAATAAATAATAAATAATTGAAGTGCAGCAAGCTTTTCATCAGAAATATAATCTCTTAGCCTTTTACTTCTAAAGTACAGTTACTACCATTATTGAGTTAGATGGGGCATAAATAAATTAGGGTTTTCTAGTTTTGGGTCCCCTCTATGACTTTGTTATTTCATTGCAAAGTTAGGTAATTATCTAGTCCCGTTCGACTATTCAATTTTCTTGTTTTTCTGTTCTTAAAATTATGCTTGTTTCTTTTATAATTTCTTTAATATTTGTCACATTTTTTAAAGTAATATTGTTTCAAGAAATTAGATCTTTTCCGACCATCACTCAAAATTTGATAACTAAAGTTATTATTTCTTTCTTGGAAAAACAAGAAAAAAATATTCTTTTTCTCCCCCTTAGGTTCATTTTTCTTATCTTATTTGTCAAAATTTTAATGGTTTAGTTTGTAAGTATTTTTCTTTTGACAAATAAATTAGATTTTTTAGTAAGTTTTTAAAAACTACTTTTGTTTTATTTTTTTTAGATTTCGAAATTCTGTTTGAAATTTGAAAAAAATAAAAAAAATAAAGATAAACCGAACAAAGAAACGCATAAATAAATAAACATAAAACAACAAAACCACATTTGCTTTAATATTCTATTCAAAGTAAGCATTTGACATACAACCTTCTTAAAAGTAAAACGTTTTTCTAAAGTTAATAAAAATATTTCACACTAATTATTCACATAGTAATAAATACTTTGAAGTAATTTAAGAAAAAACACTTAAAATGGTTACATCTAAAAGGACTAATAGTCTAAAATTCTTTTTATTATTAATTTTTTAACATTGAAAATGCAATTAAAATGTGGTATTAGTAAGATAAGAGAAATATGTAAATAAACAAGGGAAGGACAAGATACCTAAGCCTTTTAAGCGAAATTAAAAGCGATGGAATTTGGAGTAATAGAGATAAAGTGAATGAGATGGAAAGGGAATTTGGTTAAAAAGAATTGAGAAGAGGCCGAGGGTTGTGTGTGCATAGTGAAGATGGTATGGTGTCACACATTCAAAATCCCATGCACATTATATTGCCATCTGTGTCCACCTCTGCATTCCCAACCGCCTCCCCTCTCTGTTTTCCCCTTATATAATCCCGCCTCTCCCCCAACTCCAACTCCAACTCCAAACATACCAATAATTATTGAGCCCCAACAACCTCAAATATCCAATGCCTCCTCCTGCTTTGTCACTCCTGCTCTTTCTGACTCTCTCTGTTTCCTCTGTTTTTGCTGCCAACTTCAACCAGGATGTTGAGCTAATTTGGGGCAATGAACGTGCCAATATCCTTGACGATGGCCACCTCCTCACTCTCTCCTTGGACCGAGCCTCTGGCTCCGGCTTCCAGTCCAAAAATGTTTACCTTTTTGGCAAAATTGAGATGCAGCTCAAACTTGTCCCTGGAAACTCCGCTGGCACTGTCACCACTTACTATGTATGAATATAAACTGATTTACTTTATCCAACCCAACCCAACCCAATTGCCTTGCACACACATGTTTCTGATTTAATATATATATATATATATATATGTATGTATGTATGTATATTTGTTTTGTATGCAGCTTAAATCCGAAGGGTCGACGTGGGATGAGATAGATTTTGAATTCTTGGGGAATTTGACTGGTGACCCTTACACTCTTCACACCAATGTTTTTACCAATGGCGTGGGCAAGAGAGAGCAGCAATTCCACCTCTGGTTTGATCCCACTACCGATTTCCACACCTACTCAATCCTCTGGAACCCGCAGCGGATCATGTATGTCTTATCAACCAATCATGTTTTTAAATTTGAAAATTTTATTTTGTTAATTTCGGTTAAATTGGGGTTTGTTTCAGCTTCAAGGTGGATGGCACGCCCGTCAGGGAGTTCAAGAACGAGGAATCCTCGGGCGTTATGTTCCCAACGAATCAGCCGATGAGGCTCTACTCCAGCCTCTGGAACGCCGACGACTGGGCCACCAGAGGAGGGCTCGTCAAGACGGATTGGTCCAAAGCTCCCTTCACCGCCGCCTACCGGAACTTCAACGCCGACTCCTGCGTTTGGTCCGCCGGCGGCTCCTCCTGCTCCTCGGGCGCCCCTTCTGGCCACGGATGGCTCTCCGAAAACCTGGACAACACTCAACAACAGAGGCTGAGGTGGGTGCAGAAAAATTTCATGATTTACAATTACTGCACGGACGCCAAGAGGTTCCCGCAAGGCTTCCCTCCCGAGTGCTCTGTCAACGCCGGATCCTAAATTTGCCCCACGTCGCGTTCCCTAATTTGCTTCCGCCCAAAGTACAAATTATACAATATAAAGTATATTGTATGTATAGAAGAAGATCAGATCATACATGCGTAATCTTGCTTTTCATGCCTCATGTACTCTGTTTTTCTGTTGCTCCTTCATCTTCCAAATCTATTTGGAAAAATCATTAATAATAATTGTTAGTTTTTTTTTTTCTTTTACATTTTTGCTACGGGAATTAATAAAAAATTTCCGGAACAGGAACATAGGATATGAAACTGGCTCTTTAACAACAATGTCCAAATCTAAGAAGAAGATTACTCTCTTGACTCTTTACCGTTAACTCCATTAATCAATCCACCCACTTAGCTTAGCTTTAAATTTATAAATTAAGAATGAATGAATAAAGTTTAAAACTAAAATAGAATATATCAAAGTGTAAAAGCTGAAGATTATCATGGAAAGTAATTTTAATATAATATCTGTAGCTTGTCAGGAAACCTTTATGAGTCCGATTAATAAATATGATAAGGTCTACGTTCCTTTCAAAAAAAAAAAAAAAAAAAGATAAGGTCTACGTTGACTACTAAATAATTTTGTGATGAAGTCACGTGACGGCGGCATGTCTATCTTAGTATACGATTACTTGACTATATTCTGGTGCATGTTCTAGCTATTATCATAATACACTAGAATTTCCTACAAAATAAAATACACACACAATTTGTGAAAATTGAGAAAATAATTGTTGATGCAAGATGCTCCCCTGTTTCTATCGAACCATTGTCATGATCGTGAATAGTCCATTTTCTGAAGTCATTTCAGAAACACTTCCTTTCTGGGCCACATGTACAGAAGACACAGACGTTGATATGTGAACCGAAGGTGGCGATTTCCAAAATAGAAAAAACAGGGGAAAATGAAAATGAAAATGAAAATTGTTTGCAACACCGACAAAATTTTACAAATTTACACTATACTGCTCAATCTCTTTTGCTTTGTCGACTTCACTGGAGTTGAGGAAGGAGGACAAATTTGCAATTTGCATTAGAAGATCAAATGAAATGAGACACCATAATTTGTGTAACCACCCATTGAAATTATTTTGTTAAAAAGTTGTATTTTTATGGTGTGTGGTGTTGCTGACCGACACTCCATTAATGGCGATTGGACAGAAACAGAGTTTTTGAAATGAGATTAAAGGGAGGGATGGATGGGAAGTCAGGGGATAAGCAAGAAGGTGAGATTAAAGATAAAAGCGGTCGCCGTCGGTGGTGCTTTTTGTTTTTTTGGTTTGGTAAGGTGGGAAATTGAACCAATGAATTTGAGAGATTTCATCAGAATAAGACACTGCACAGCTAAGGCCATCTCCTCTCACTTCGAAAATGACATATTTTTCGTATATTCTTGAACCAGCTGTTTCCCCATTGCAATGCAAACAAACCACCCCATCACATTATCTCTTTGGTTATATTTTCTTTTATTTTCCATCTAAATCCTGAACTCTTATCCATTTTTTCATTTTAATCTCTTTTATGAACAAAACGACTTGTGTGATTCAAGGGAGATAAACTTATATATCCAAAGTTTATCAATTAAATCAAATAAGTTGTTGCTTGTCCAAAATTTACAAACTAAATTTAACTCTCAAGAACATGACCAAACTTCTAGGTTGGTTAGATAAGAGTAGGATCATACCTATGCAATTGAGAGATAACATCTCTATCAATTACATCTCTATTAAGACGAAGCTTTTTGAATGAAATTAAAATCAAAGTTTACGAACTGTGTTAGGAATATTATCAAAGTTTTACCTTGACTAAATATGAAAAAGATTGACACTACAATATAGAAAAGAATTTATCTTTCTCGATAAATAGGAGTAAATTATTTAATGTGGCTACCACATAGGGCGGCTTCGTACTAAATCTGTATATACATGGTAAAATTATAATTTATGAATTATATTGGTAGCAAGTAACCAATTCTCAATTTTGCCTTCAAAAAATCGGGATTTTGGGTTGGGCCAAAATAAGAAATAAGAATCGTAAAGAAGCCGCCTAGTTTGCTGGGTAGGGCCTACAAGCACACCCATGACCTGGGCCTACATTCACCAAACCCAACGTGGGCCTACCGCATCACCGCCTTCCTCTTACTTTCTGACTTCATCTCAATCCACAATTTCCCCCCACATTTAACATTCTTAATTAATGGTACATATGATTATATTTAATAAACCATATTATAAGATTAAATTACCCATTTAATTTAGTGATTAAAATATCCCTACTTTTGCTGAAGAGTTATGGTTAGAATTCTTTGTTCATCCATTTTCATGATGTAATATTTAATTTTATATAAAATTAAAATATAGAAAATATTTCTTCCTTAATAATCAAGGTGTAATTGTTAAGACATCTATTTTCCACAAAATACCGTGAGTTCAAATTTCCATATTTATATATCTATATATTATATTAAAAAAATATTATTTTTCTCTCTAGTTTTTTTCCCTTGAGAAAGATATTTTTCTTTCCGGTTAATACCAAGAACATCATTATATTCTTTACTAGAATATTTTTTTTCAAAACAAATATTTGTTTTCTTGTATTCAACTCCTCCCGGTACAAAGTTGAGAGGTAAGTAGCAATTAACCCCTGCAATACAATTAATACATGAATATTATCCTTTTAGTACATAATAATACTTTGTCAATTGGTTCTTTGTTTAAAAAAAAAAAAACTTTGTCAATTGGTGAACAAAAATTTTCTACGTACTATCACTAAAATTAGAAAATACTTAAGTCATAAATAGTTGGTAGATATCTTATGCATACTATATCAAATATTTAAAGAGAGAAATACAAAATCACGGTGGATCAGCTTATTAAAAATGTTGTGAACTTACATTTCTCTCACAGTTTTTAAATATTACGTCATTTTTCTGTTCTCAAGGAAGAGTGCAGAACGGCATTAGTGAGTAGTGACAGTACCACAAACAAAGATTGTAGCACTCCACGGGCTAAGTTTAGTTTTCCATGATCCTTCCCCTGCTTTTGCACTGAACACATTCCTCTTTTCACTATAAATTAAACCCCAAAATCCCATCACTTCTACTTCTCACCAGTTGGTTGTGTCTCATTACAAATGGCTCCCACAACTCTACTGCTGACCCTTCTCTCTGCCTCCCTAATTGCCCTCTCCGCAGCCAACTTCAACCACGACTTTCACATCACTTGGGGAGATGGCCGGGCCAACATTCTCGACAATGGGCAGCTCCTCACCCTCTCCCTCGACAAGGCCTCCGGCTCCGGCTTCCAGTCCCAGAACCACTACTTATTTGGAAACATTGATATGCAACTCAAGCTCGTGCCTGGCAACTCCGCCGGCACTGTCACTGCCTATTATGTAAAGCCTAAGCCTAAGCCTAATTTTTTGCTGCTAAATTAGCTTAATTCTGATTGTTTTTTTTGGCAGTTGTCTTCCAAAGGGTCGAATTGGGACGAGATAGACTTCGAGTTCTTGGGGAATCGAGCGGTGACCCCTACACTCTCCACACCAATGTGTTTAGCCAAGGCAGAGGCAATAGAGAGTGCTATATTATTGACAGATAATTTGTATTTGACTTTTCTTGGTGTTTTTTAATCAACTAGGTGGACAGGTGTTGGTGACTCAGCTCAAGTCTTTTTATCCAACTCATATGGGTATTTTTACCCATCCAAACAAATTCGGTTCGGGCTTTTTATTCAACTGGGCCTTTACCCAAGAAGTTTGTTAGCCACCTACAGATAAATGGTTGTTGGGGTGGCAGAGTGTGGTGTAGAGTGGGTGAGAGAGAGTGTGAGAGAGATTGCAATGAGAGAGCCATTTTTGTAATAGGGTGACGAATTCTTCTTCCATCCTAGGGTTCTGATTTTTCAATCTTTCTGGAATTTTTGTGGGAGCTGGGTACTGTCCAAGAATTGGTGTTTAGTGGCTGTAAATCTCCATAGGAGTGCATGAAGAATAGAAGCACTGATTTGAAGAGAGTGTTGCTTCGATTCTTTGTTTGAGCTGCTGATTTTTTGATCATTGTTTAATAGGATGTAGATCTTCTTGATCGAACCACTTTAAATTTGTGTGTTCATCTCTTCCCTTAAACTCCTCTGTTTTCATCTTTATCGTTCTTTAATTTTGTTGAACACTGTTTTGGTTGGACTGCTGTTTAAGATTAAACTTTCTATTAGCAAATTAGATCTAATATTGTTTATCAGAGACCAACAATTTCATCTCTGGTTCGACCCCACCGCTGATTTCCACACCTATTCCATTCTCTGGAACCCCAACCGCATTATGTAATTCACACCTGACGCACCCATCTTACAAACTTTCTTTATTCATGCTTACAATTTCAGACACAAAATTGGAACTTTAAGAATACCCATATTTCAGATTTTCTGTGGACGGAACTCCAATAAGGGAATTCAAGAACTGGGAGTCGAAAGGGGTGGCATTTCCGAAGAGGCAGGCGATGAGGATATACTCGAGCTTGTGGAACGCAGAGGATTGGGCGACCAGAGGAGGGGCGGTGAAGACGGACTGGGCGGCGGCTCCTTTCACGGCGTCTTACAGGAACTTCAGGGCCGAGGCGTGCGTTTGGGCGTCGGGGCGCTCCTCTTGCGGCCCGACTGGGAATCCCAGAGCAAACTCCTCATGGCTGTCCCAAGAGTTGGATTCTGCGAGTGAAGAAAAAATGAAGTGGGTGCAGAAGAATTACATGATTTATAATTATTGTGCGGATACCAAGAGGTTTCCACAGGGCCTCCCTATGGAATGTAAATTGCTTTAGACATAGGGAGCAGTTGAGTTCTTTGATTGTTTGTTATGTAATGTTACCTGGTTTTGTACTATTCTCGTTTTCTTTTGAGGCAGGATCAATTTTAACTTATTTCCTCTTCGGATTCTCGCGTGTCTAAGTCCGATCAGATCAACCAGAGACCAATTATACAATGACCAAGGATGAAGGAGGAGAAGGAGTAGGAGCTAGCCTGCGCTGTTTCTTTGCAAAATTGTGCTCAATTTCATATGTGGCAATTCCGTCAAGATCTCTTCGGTAACCTCCACCCGGCATAACTGCATTTCAACCAACCGACTCACTTGCCTCTCCCAACGTTGGGGATGAGAACCCATGATTTGATCTGCTAGCTTGAATGTCTGGATCATGTCGAGAAGAGAAGGTTCAT